CTGCCCCGTCCCTCTTCCCCGCCGGCCGGCCGGCCGTCTGCCTGTGGCGGAATCCGCTCTCGCCGGCCGGGGAGGGGATGAATAATTGAACAGAGTGGTTTTGGTTGGTGCCCGGGGTGGGGAGGGTTGCCGCCGGGCGCGACGAGGACCCGCGGGGGGCTGGGGGCAGGGCGAGCGGGCGAGCTGCTGGGGCCGTCGGCTGAAGAGCCCCCTGCTCGCCTCGGCGCGGCTTCGCTGGGAGCGGACGAGCCCGTCTGCAGCAGCTCCTCGACGGGGCCTGAAAGCGAAGCGGCCGCCCGGCCAGGAGCAGCAGGCGAGACGCGCTCTCTTCCGCTCCGAGGAGCCCGCGCCGGTCGGGGAGGGAGAGAAGCGCTCCAGGCTCAAAGCCGCTCGAAGGCTACAGCCCGATTGATCTCCCTTCTCTCTCTCTCTCTCTCTCCCCCCCCCCCCCGGGGTTTACTCCCCCCTCTTTGCGTTAATGAGGCGGGGGCGGGGGCCCGCCGATCTGATGGGCCCTGACAAATTCATTAGGGAGGTTGAGGGACATTTTATTTGACTGTTAAACGTCGTGTTTGTTTGGCTTCGCCAATGCCAACATCAGCACGCCGCTGCCTGGAGCCAGAGCTGCTCCAGAGGAGCCCTCTTTGGCAGGGGGAGAGCCTCTCGCTCTTTTCTTGGCTTGCCCGGCCGGCTCCCCTGGCTTCTCCCGGGGACCCTTGCCTTGTTGCACTGCTGCTCAGGCAGGTTAAGAAGGGGTAGGTATGCTAATTGGCCTTTCATTGGCGCGAAGAAAGGGCTGGAGACCGGCGGCGGCGGGGACGCGCCTGGTGCAGGCACAGGGAGGCAGAAGGAAGGGGGGGGGGGAAAGAGCTGCCGAAGAGCAAGGGTGTGCCACGATTACAATGTCAAGCCTGACAGTAGAGCCACTGTGTACTGGCTTTTTGGAAAAAATTCTTGTGCTCTCCTTTTGCTTAGCAAGGCTCCACTTTTAGAGCAGACGATTTCTGAACAATTTCCTTTGTCTTTTGCATAATCATATGATCTTAAGGAGAAGGGAATTGATCTGAGACCATGGATCTCTTTGGGCACTTTCCCTTGTTTACCTTTTGTATTTTCAGGAGTTGGTTTTCAAACTCTGTGCTGTCAAAGAAGATGAGATGTGCTTGTGGGGGGGAGGGATGGGTTTGAGTAGCCTGCCAAAATATTTGCAAACTATTAGACATCTCTATACTATTAAACAAGTCCAATGTTAAAAAATGCCATTGGTTTACTTTAAATTATATTTTGAAAATTGAAGAATGTCATCTTACATGTTATTTCCTTGTAAATTTTGCTAGAGATCTTTGAACCAACTTGGTTTTTAAAAAAATATTTCTGGAAGGATTTGGTGTTTCCATTTATAGAACAACAGTCTGGGAAAAGAACTCATGCCCTTTGCCTGTCATTTTCATACATTCCTTCTCTGCTGATGGAGCTTGAACTGCTGCAGGGAATGTATGAATTTGAAAAGAAATGATTCGGGAGTGCCTGCTGCCTTCCTCAACAGCCAGACTAAGCTAATGGGTAAAGTAAATGCATCTGGAGGAATGACAGCTATAATCCTGTTTACATTTCCCGGATCTTTCTTTATACATTTGTGGATAGATTTTTATCAAACCTCTTTTCATCTCTTTCAAGGACTTAGTTTACCAACTTGACTGGAGAGGCCTATTATTTAATTACTACAGATATTTTAAAAACAGCAGTATAAGGTCAGTTAGTGCAATAATTAAACAGCACATAAACAACTGTTCAATTATTATGATGCTATATCTGTATGGGTTTCTCTCTTCCTTCCCTACAGCTAATGTCTCCTACAGAACATTTCTGAGACTGTCT